GGCGCAAAAGTCAGCGAATTATATGTTTCACTCTACACGAGAAACTGACACATCGACAAGCTCCAATGGCTCAACCTCTCGGGCTCAAATGATTGTCTTCTGCCAATAGCAAGGACGCAGAGCTCAATGGCTCCTTTTTTTCCGAGATTGACTGAAGACAAAACTGAAGGCTGTTGACTCCCAAACTTACTAAGAGTGGCATTACTCACCGAAAAGAATCAACGCATCGTAAAATTAATGGAAAAACAATAATTATATTAAATCTGGCAACTAAATACGGGCAATACATATTGATATGTAGCGCTATCCTCCTGTCAAAGATTGAAGGTTTAAACTTGCCAGCGGATAAGCAGTTTTTCTACGAAATATTCATAAATTTCGATGATAAATTGCTACTAGTTCTTTCATGAAGCCAAAATCACTATTAGCTTGCATCTAAGATAAGATGGCTCGAAAAAAAGAGCCATCGACAGTCTCGTCAACTGATCGTTTCGCACTTTCAAATTACTTCCCGAACGCCTTCGTCTCTCTCAGAAAGTAAAATATGAAAAGCAGAAACTAAGTAAAATGTCTGTTCTCAAAATGCAACGAAACCGCACGCATAAGGTTAGGGAGAATAGATGAGGTATGTTCGATTGAGAAATTCATAAAAAACATACATTCGGTTCGACCTCCTTGAGCCAACAGTTCGCTGTATCATCATAATCCAGTTTGCATGCCATCGCGAGATCGCGATGCGCGTCCAGAAAATTGCCCAAAAGCCTGTCAAATCAGTCCAGCTTAGATGAAACAAAACGAACAAACAAAACAAAAAGTTTCTAACATAAGGATGCAAAACTTCCCAACAGAGAATTACAAATCAAAAATATAACTTCGCCAAAATATCATCCCTTTCCAATTTTTTTTTTTTTTTTCACAATATAAAGGACACAAATTTTTACAAAAAATCCTACTTTTTACGCTCATTACCCGGGACTAATTACATGGGCGTATGCAACTTACGAATATTCAACAATGCTCCCGCAACGGCAAAATAATGTTACGCAGGAATAATCATCAGCCTAAGCAATAATTACAAAAAAAGATAAGAAAACAGGAATGTGGAATACAAGGACCTGTGTGCGCGTCCACGAAATTTGTATCCCTGCGCTGAATCGGCATTAAGCGAGATTGCCTTGTCGCAATCACGAATTGCACCAAGCGGTTTGTTCAGTTTCAGCAGCACACTGAAAAAAAGTTACTCTATTTATTAAAAGAAATTACAATTCAAAACCAGCCACAACTCTCTATGCATCATTTTCTCTGGCAAGTACCAGGACTCGGAAGAAATCTAAGTTGTAGCACATTGCCAACACAAAACTGCCCTTTGGGAAGGCTGTCGATGGTATACTTCGAAAAAAAAGATGTGATGTTAAGCAAAACTAAAGGCAGCTTTGACTTCTTGATATACGCAAGTACCAATTTACTATCGAACAGACTTGTAGTAGAAAAGCATATTAACAAGGAAATATGAAATAAGCAGAAGAGTCAAAAACAAAGGTAAGGAATGAAAATTAGAAAAATTAGTGAAATTATTATAACGATAAGAAACGTTTCGGTCCATTAAGTCGTATACATTTCTTACCGTTATCACAGTTGGACTTAGTCAATAAGACGATTATGGCAATTAAAGCTGGCAGAAATTAGTTATGTAATGCATGTTAGTAATAAAAAGTGTTATAGAAGATGAGTAGTAATAATTCTGGCAATGTCAAGAAACAGTAATGCTACATGCCAGGAACCAATAACGGATCTAGAAAGAGAAGGGGAGAGGATGATGGGCTTTTCGACACAGATAACAATGCTAAAACTGAAGAAAGCTCCTTTCTGCACTCCTGTCGTCCCTTCCATACCCCTTCCCCCACCCACTAGGAATCTCACTTATACTAGCCCCCCCCCCC